GCAGTTAGTGGTCAGTGCACATAAGCAAAGTACTGACGGAAGTATGCGGAATGAGACACAGCCTGTGACACACTGATGAAAAGGTCAGTCTGTTGTGACTTCTGGGCTCTTTAAAGGCTCAGTCATGCTCCACCCACACAGGTGTCTCCACTTTAGCCTGATTAGACCTCTTCCCCAGACTGTGTGGGCATGTGCAGACTGATCGATGTCTTCCTCACTCTCCTGTTGCACATGTTAAGGCAGGGGAACGTGCCCCTCTACATTGATGATTGTGAAGTCGAGTTTCGGCAGGTCTAATCAGCCAGAATAACTCCGAACACCTGTGACAGGGCTTTTAGAAACAGCAGTTTGGGCTGAACTCCTTTTCAGAGCTCACACAGGTGGCTGTGGTTAGCAGGAATGAGGGTAATTGGTTGGATGGACAATGTGCAACAAACACTGCAATAGGGAAATTATGGTGTCCAAATCTATGTTTATCATCCTCACAGACTAACATAAACTATTATTTATGTCTTTCCTTATAAGAGTATTTAAAATCACTCTGAACTTAAAATGAATTTTTGCTAAGCAGTCAGTGCTAGTTTTGACTAAAAAAAGGAAGGGTGCAGTGACAGCACCCAAGTTTTGCTTCAGACTGACAGTGTTGATGTTGTAATTTGATTGGTGTGATATCTGTGTACTAAAACCGTTAATAATAAAATGAATGATGGCTGAATTCCATTTTGCTGCTTCAGTTTCAGGGTCCTGGAATTGGGCACGCTGGCTCACTGTCATTGCTTACTGGGACACTTGAATAGAACAGAGCCACTGTTAATGTTATGTGTTATTTGTGTTAACGTATGTTAATGTCAATAAAAAGCCTGTTCGAGATGAGCCAGGTCTGCACAGAATCAATCACCGGCAATCACATGGCAGAAGGATTTTTGTCAGACATAATGCAATGGAGTGCAAACATAGGCAACAATAACCTCACAAGATCAAGGCTGTATCTGACACTTTGAAGTTTGGTTTTATTAACAGAGTAACTGTGTAGTCAATGGTGACTTATTAGTCTGAGAGGCTGAATACAGCCAGTATCATATAGTATGAACATTAAGAATGTATTTTTTTAAAGAATTAAGCAAAACAAAACCATTGCTAACATGTTGTGATGTTATTTACATAGTGTGCGAGACCGGTCCAGCAAGTCTGCAGCGAGTCTGATCAGAGGATTTATATACATTATATATGATTGCATGCATTAGAATTCTATCTAATTTGATCTAACAGGGTGTAAACACTGCTTTGACTTCCTGTTGAGACAGTGAAGGTTGCTGGAAACTGTCCATCTTGACTGCAGCCTTTAGTCACTGCCCCCTGCTGCTGCTGCTGCCTGCTTTTCTCCACCTTCCTAGCGAGGCGCAGTTCAGGCCTAATGTCTGCTGTGAAAGAGCCTTTTAGGGGTTGCACAAATACACAATGTTAGACAAACTTAAAATTGTTTAAAAGTTTGTTTAATATTATCAACATTGAATATTGTGTATTATCACCTATTATTTGCTACCTCTAAGATCATACGTTTTTAAATTCATTCATATTTATTCCCACTAAAGTGGTTTTAAGTGACTAAATATCTTAGTTGTATATAAATGAGAGACAACCTTGTCCTTTTTGTGTTTTAGATTTGAATCACTATACAAAATATTTACAGCTACAAAACATCTATCACACAAATTGTATGGTCTCTTACCTATGTCTGCGGAGAGGACTGAATGGCCCATATCAGGATCACTCTTCAAAAACAACCAAAAATGATTTACCTGTCTTATATCTCCAGGATTGCACAGTATTTACTATAATATCATATAATATCAAATGCTCCAGTCTTCATTAATTTATATATATTTTGTCCTAGTCAATATTTGTTCCACTTTGTATGTACAGCTATAGCATTTACCAAGGTTTCAGCAAGCATTGCTATCATCAATATGATTGTATCACAATTCTATTGAAATTCTATTCACAGAATTACCAGTTACATTTGGCTGTGGTTCCCAGTTACAGGTGCACCGCTCCATGGCACAGGAAACAGTTGTCATTGCCACACTGTCACATCAAAACTGCACGAGTCATGTATGTTTTCCCCTTCACTGCTGACTCTCCCTGGCATGAGAGCAGTGTTTGACATCCATCAGCCTTGTTGAGCCACGATGGAGTTTCACTCGTTACATTTCAAACATTCCCCACTCACAGCTGTAAAGTCGTCATGAGTGCCAAGGATTTTAAAGTACTGGGAAAAAGTCTGATAAAGCTTGAATCCCGATGGCTTAACTCTGTGCCATTGCACAATATTTTCACTTCAACAAGATGTCACCCCTTAGTCTTACTTCTCAGTCACTTTGTCTCCCATGTGTTGCCTCACTCTGCCATTATAATGTGGCCCAGCACTGAGTAAACAGAAGATCACAAGATAATGAAAAAGTATTTCATTTGTTCAAGTCATCGGCTATGGCCTTGCATACAGAAAAGAAATGTGTGTCTAAAGTTTTTTTTTTTAATGAAGGACGCAATACCACTTCCATAAAAGCACTGTAACAAATACTGACTTTGTAAAGCTAAAAATGTTAAATTATCTTGAAAGTCTTCTCAGACTGTAGTTTTGTGGTGTTGGAGAATAGGATTGGTTTATATTGTGTAAGGCATAAATGTGTTTGTCACGATGTCTTGAATATATATTAAAGTTTTGGAAACATCAATATAATGCTCTGACTATTTCTTTTATATGACAATAAAAGGTTGTCTAACTTTAAGAATATGCTGTGTTTCCGAACACCACAGGAGCTGACTATTTGACATTTCCCTCAAGAAAAAGGGATACAACACCAGTATGTTCGAGCCAGGTAAGAATCCTAGATGTATAACACTTAATCACCAGCAGAGAGACATATTACCCTGGTAGCATCACTATGGAAACTCTCAGGTGTCCTGCTCTCCAAAGGAATCTGTATCTTTGAAAAATGGAGCCTTGAAAGTATTCATTAGTTAGCCAAGCATTGAGATTACCCTGCTAATGCTAGTGTGATTTAAAAGGAAAGATGTAGGCCAGAGGAAAAAAAAATGTTTTGCCACCTCAAAAGAACCATTTCTAAAGGAAGAAAAAGGCGTGAAAGTCAAACAATTTCAGTAAAGCTCTATGGAGGCTTCTAGCTGAGTAACAGCTTTAGCATCCGCTAATGGACATTCTGTATATGGAGAAACCACTCAGTGGCCACTGTAGGAAAAAGAAACACTGATCAATAAGTGCTGTGTGCAGTTCAATAAGTGCATTGATCATCACACAAAACAAACACATCACAACCATAGCGGGAATAAGAGTGCTGGGGCAAGGTCAATACCTCTCAACCCGGTCTAATGTAAGTCTGCCTAAGCTTGTTTTCACTTGCCCTCTCACAGTTAAATAACAGAAACAGAGTGTACACTAAAAGTTCATTCTTAACATGTGTGGTCTTCTTGAAAGATACTTTACTTAGCTAAAATGATTAACACGTTATATCCTGTTAACTGTGTCTGGACAAAAAATAGTTCAGCCTAACTTGTCTTAAAGGTTAGTGTGCAACATTTAGGAGGATGAATATAAGATTCATAGGTATTTTTATATTAGTGAATAAATTACCTTTACATTTACATTCAATTCAATTATATTCTATTTGCATTGCACCATGCCATAACAGAAGTTATCTTAGGACATTTTTCAGATAGAGCAGGTATAAACTGGACGTCACATAAAATAAAAGTTGTTTTGTTTTCGTTACCTTCCTGTGTCTTCAGTGGTGCTATTTTCTGATGCTTTCTGACTGTAAAACAAAATAATTCAAGGATGGTGGACAGATAAAAATCCCTAAAGATTGCTTGAGAACCAAGGACGGCAATTAGATGGCAATTTAACTCACCAGCACGCCTCAAGATTCACTGCAGGAGTGCAGCATTAGGTTTACTATACAGAACTGGTAAAAAAAATAGATGGGGGAATGGACAGTGTTGCATCATCATTGACTGTTAAACGGCAACATCAAACACAGTCCACCACAAAGTGTGAAGCTCTTGAGCCCACTTGAGCGAGTTTTAAGTTGTTTAGATATCCTACACAAATATAAATGTTTAAACGTCAATATGAATGCTGCACTTTGTTGGATCAATTAGATCCTCCACAATTCAATCGTTCAGTTCATTTTACGGAAACTGTCACCACCAAAGCATAATTCATTCAGACCGGCATGGTAAACAAGAGAGACAGAAAAAACATCGGAACTGGTCACAAAGTCTATATGGTCTATGTCCATCCCTCTATTATTTATAATTATTTAGTCCGTAAGGGTCCACCGATCAAAAGAACCAAAGGGTTTCATTAAAATTAATCCAAGTTGTATATTTTCTAACATCTGTTGCTCACTGTCTGTATGCTGGCTGCCGTAAATCTTCGGCTGCCTAAAACGACATTTACGTTCAAGTGTCAAGTACGACCTGCAATTTACGGTAAACTGTTTGTTGTCAAATTTGCTAAACAAAACTCAAGAGAAGCAGCACAGTTACAGAGTATTTCCCTCTGTGCTGAGCAACAGTTTTGTGCTAAAGGAATTAAAAGCTTGCCCAAAATAGACCCCTGTCCCCAATAAATGCACAGGGAGTTCAGGGATTTCTGCAAATAAACGGGCTATTATTAAAAGTTTTCTATGGTATAAGAAGTCCTCCACAAGTTTTGAGTTGTGTTACTGGATTTGACTCACACCTTTTATGTGCAAAAAAAATCTGACAAAGACACTTGTCCCATTGAGCTACGGTGGCCTGTGAGAGACACAAACAGTTTTAGTTCTTGCTAATTACAGCACAGACCCAAAGAAACATGCACTGCCTTCATCGTTGAAATACCTTTGTTGAGTCTCTTCTATTCCAGACTGTTTTTGCTACAGGGCAGAAATGAAAAAAAAAAATACTCATTGCCCCTTTAAACACTTTTCACCAGTCATTCCCACAAAGCACATTACAGAGAGGAAATAATCCAGTGGTGGTGGATGGTTTGCTCCGAGGTATTTCAGTGATGCTTCGTGGTCGGGTCAGCTAACAGCTGCTAGAGGTGAGCTATCTAGGATGAAGTCCTCTCCCCAAACGGCGTCAACTCTATTTTAATTCTCCACACAGCATGGTGCATTGACACCTGGGCTGAACACATGGTTAAAATTAGGGCCACTGTAGGGGACCTTGACAAACAAGTGACTTTGACTGAATTTAATCGGGGCGTCCCTGGAGTCCGACGCTTCTCTCACACACAGCAGTGGTCGAGGAAATAGAGTCTTGTTTTAGTTTGTGGTATCCATAAACAGTTTTACTTACATGTGCTGCAAATATAAATACATGGCTGCATTCAAAAATTGTACTTCCCATCAGTCTTCTTGAGATATGTATGCTAATATTGGCATTTTAATAATCCATAACAAATTAAATATCAAATAAAAGAGGCACTATTTCCAACTCTTTTTATTCAAACTACTCCTGAGCATTATAGTAGCAGAAATCAGACACATCAGTTGAATTAAATAAAATGTCAAAGAAATTAAATAAAATATTTAAAAAAAACTATATATAAAAAAATACTTTTGCAAAGAAACCACAACACTTACAGCAAAATATCTAAAGCCAGTAAAATAAAAACTGTCTTTTATTTTCATTTCATAAAGGTGCTACAGTACGCTGAAGATTTTTTCAAAATCTGAAGTTTTGAGTTTAATTTGTTTTGGGGATTTGGATTTGGAGGCTCTGGATCAGACACAGGGAAGAATATGAAATATTTGAATCAATTACTTTGGGATATAAGAGAGAATATGCCGGGAAACAAAAATCTGTTAGGACGTTTTTCTGTCCTGTTATCTCACCATAAAAAGGTGAGAAGAAAGCAAACTCACAGCGGCACGCAGCATTTGAATGTGTTTCTATTCCAGATCAAGTTTCATGTCTATGTGATGTTGCCTTTTATTTGTGAAACTAGTGCTAGGTACTGGGGGAAAAAGTCTGTTTGTGATCTCAGTTGCTAAACACTGTCCATTGAACGGTACATATATAAAACACATACTAGCTATTAGCATAACAATCAATAGTCCTAAATTCTTGTACTTTCTCAGAGTCAAACTTTTAAAACAACAAAAGGAGTCTGTTTAGCCAGAGCTGCGGTCTGAATATTTCAGGTTATGGATGAACTGTCGAGTATCTGACAAGACCCACTATATAAACTTTGAACACAGGCACTCCGGGAGACATCGATAGTTGTAAATATTTAATTCAGTGCCTCCGACAATGCATGCCACTGAAACAAATCTTTACCAGATTGAATTCAAGATAAATAGCACGGAAATATCACCAAAGCTGATACAGAGATTTTTATGCCATCGTTTTGTCAGGGTGGCCTTGTTGGGGGTTTCTGTTCCACAGATCGCATGTTAGTTTGTCTAATGTGTCAGCACTTCTGAAGCAGCACCTCAAGTGTTTGTAGCATATGCAAATGTAAAATCAGATAACAATATAGTATGTAAAGGTACTTTTGGTACCTGGAGCATATTTAGAGAAATCACTTATTAGTAATATTATATATTGACAGAAATTAATGATTAGTTTTATACAGAGCATTTGGTTAATGTTAACAGTAAACCAAAAAAAGCTCCATATAACAGGAAAAGTTTCTGTTTTCTTAAAGCAAAGCTATTCTGCAGTTGTGACTGAAGTTCCTTTGCTAATTTGACTGTATTTTAATGAAATGTTGTACCCTCGGTATGCTGTGCAGCTGTAATAGGAAGGAAAAAGTAAACAAAATACTGTAAAAACATTTCAAGCTGGTTTAATGCAAAACATATGTTTCCCTGCTGTTATCTGAAAGTCGAATAATTAGTCCAAAGTCGTCTCATTAGTTGGGAAAATGTTAAACCAGTCACGATGACAAACTTTACAGTTCTATCTACATTTTCTCAGTTTGATAATTAAGTTCTTCGTTTTTTAATGGATTTTTTGGGGGCATTTATTGCCTTTAATTGATAGTGATAGCTGTAGGGTGACAGGAAAGGGGGAGGGGCACGAAGCAAAGGGCCACAGGTCAGAGTCAAACCCATGGCCACTGCAGAAAGGATTCAGCCTTGGTACATGGGGCACCAGCTCTACCAGGTGAGCTATACATTTGAGTTCTTATTTGACACAAAGAACTTATAACTTACTTTTGTACCAGAATTTCTACAGTACAAAAATACATGACTTATAGTTATAGTTGGTTTATAGTTAAAAGGTAACGCATTATTTAAGAGGTCTGTAATTTTCTAATAACATTTCCTGGAAAGAATTAAAAAATAGGCAAAATACCAATGACCTTGATGGAAAAGCTGAATTTAAACCCAAGTAGAGTTGAGACTATTCATTATTCATCTATTATTGGAAATTGGAATCTCAATATATTTAGAATTGTACAGACTAAATTACACTCTGGACTACTCTGCAGCACTTAATTTGAATTCATTACTTGGAAATGTACCAAGTGAAGACTGTCTCTAGTTTCAGTATAATTGGTACCAAGTTAAATAACTGTAGTTCTTTTGAGGAAATGTCTTTTAATTTTTAACTTTTTAATTATTGGGAATTTATTTAGAAATTATGGATCTGTGGATAAATTAATTAAATGTTTTGCATTTGGTTGGCAGATACTCAATATTAAAAGACTTAGATCAGGATCAGGGGTAAAACAAATAAACAAAAAACTCAATTAATCCAAAAAAAGTCAAAAATTCACATCCCAGCTCAAAAACAACGATGTACCTACCTGAACAAATGATCAACACAGTTTAATTTTTAAACTTTTATTCACTTAAATTCTCAAGTGTTAAAGCAAGAACAAAACATTTATAATGTCCTTTGGTGGGATTTTATTACACTTTATTAATACTGTATATGTAAACTGATATTCTTTGATGCCAGCACGTTGCCAATACAAAGGAAAATCAACTGCACAACTAAAAGTATTGTTAACAAATAAAATAAGTGAATGAAATAAATGTAAATCAAAGAAAAAAAAAACCCATAAACAACTGCTTCTGCATTTGGATGTCTTAAATAGATACATTAAAGATTGCCTTTTTTCAATCACAGTTCGGCAAAGATACAAAAGGACTATATGACTCTTTTTTTTTTTGTTTGCTCTGTCGAGAAAAGAACTTGCAAATACACCGATGGTTTTCTATGCACTTCTCGTCTGCTCAGGTGAAAACTATCCTCCGACCATGATCGTAGGGAGCGTGGTGGCTCTAAGATAGAAAAAGAATCAGACAGCTTTACTGGAGTATCTTTTTTGGAAGGGAGGAGGGGGGAGGGGAGGGGAAGAGGCTTCTTACACATGTGCATCACTAACATCGGACAAAAGAATCTTTCAACCAACAAGGGTTTACAGAGTAACGTTCACGAAAAGCACAGGTCTGTGGCAGCATGGCGAGGGGATTGGGGACTGGAGGACGGAAAGGGAGGGAGGATGAACAGGAGGGAGGATGAGATAGAGCTCGAAGGAGAGACAGAAAGCTAGAGAGGGATCGACGTGGGCAAGGTTTTTGTGTCACAAAGTGGCAGTCCGGACAGATTCCCTTCTATCCACAATGCACTGACAGCAAAGAATGCTTCCTGTGTTTTCTCCTCTTATTGTTTTGTCGTTGTATTGAAGTATAACGGTTATGTTTCAGAGGCCAGTCTTTGCCGTTCAGCGAGGCGGGGACAGTTTCTTGGAGATTTATTCGGCGTCAGTCCAGCCAACATTAACTCGCAGAAGCATCCCGGGGGGAATCGGCGGCCGCTGTCGGCTCGTGCGAGAGCTGATTGGTCGCAGCTGTTGTTGCCGTGGCAATAAGAGAGGAAGTGAACGAGTCTGTCATCTTCAGTTATCCCTTCTCAAACTGGAAGGAGCTCAAGTACCTGGTATGGCTTAGAAGGGGAGGGGGGTCTCATTGTTCTTTGCTCATTTTACTCTTATTAGGCGCTCATAATATCTGGCATTTTTAGAAGTATATGTTTTTTTCATTTCTATATATTCTTTGAAATTAAATGAAAAGTTTTTGCACTCATTTGTCTGGCACATTCCCTTTATCGTCAGCGTGAGTGTCCATTGAGTCTGGCGGCGGAGAAGCTCAGTACATTTCAGTCCAGAAAGCTCATGGTTGTTCTTTTTTAATGGTTGTTGATTATTTGAAAGGGGGGAATGGGGAGGTTAAGGTGGAGACGATGGGGAGTTTATCAACTCCCACCAGGTCATGGGTCTCTTTAGAGCGTGGCGGGCCAGCAGGAGGCCTCTTTCAGCAGTGCCGAGCCCAGCAGCAGCAGCAGCAGCAGCCTGGGAGAGGACGGAGGCATCAGGGCGGCCTGGCCCGAGTCGGGCCCTCCGCAGCCCCCCAGCTCCGATTCGCAGCGGGGCTTCTCACACAGCAGGCCCGAGTAGGTTGAGGGACAGTTGCAGCGGACGTTGTTGACACACACCCCGCCATTTTGGCAGCGCAGGAGCTCGTTGTCACACACCCGGGCTGTGGTGGAAGCAATGTAAAGACAGGAGAGAGGAGTGAGAATCAGACATGCAAGAGATTTTTGGGTGAGACTTTACTTGAAGTTTGCTGTGATGTGTCAAAAGCACATTGTAAAAGCTCTCATTATCACATGCCAGGATTTCATATCACTTAATTATCTACTAATTTTTTCTATTAAGATAGGATGAAACGGACCCATGTGGGGAAATTTGGAAATCTCTCAGATCAAAAACTGACAAAAGTTTTCTTCAAGCAAAGTGTTACCGCATTTTATTCCAGATTCCAAATTTAAGTCTTCTAGGAGTACTTTGACATTTTGGGAAACACAGTTATTACAATTATTAGCTTTCTTTCTTCAAGCTAGATAATAAGACCCATACCACTCTCATGCCTTATAACTCTTTTGTTTAATCTGTGCAAACTCCAAAGTGTAAAGATGACATTTTGTTGTTTTACGGGGCGTTGTGTACTGGACAGTTTATTTATTTTTTGCCTGGGACCAGTAACTTCCTGTATTCTCTGCATGTGCACAAGTTACACAAGGCACATAAACCCCCGTAAAATGGCAAATTGTCATTTCATACACTAATCGGCTTTTGCCTCTAGCTTCATATCTACTGTACAGATGAGAAGAAGAGTCTATCAACATTGCCATCTCTCTGCAATAAAGCAAATTAACATGTTTCCCAAACTGTTGCTTCATCATTTCAATATGCAATTTACTTGATAAAAGTCCTTGTACTTAGTACCAGTTGTAATTAACATATACTCATGCATCATAACTACATCAGGTAATATTTGCATATATCATGTTAGTAATGCTAATTTAAAAAGTATACATTTGTAATAGTACAATGTGTAAGGATTTCTACATGTGGCGCCCCCACTGGTAGTATCAAAAAAGCAATTTATCACAATCACAATAATTTTAAAGATGGTATAATTACATAAGAAATATACATGTAGTGGCTCTTTTATCACTCCTAGTTTAACAAACGTTGGATAATTTAAACTTCCCTTTAAGACACCTTACATACATCCCCAGTTCATAGTGCACATAGTTTTCTTCCTTTAAAAAAAATATGTAACTTTCACATGCTCCCATAATAATATAACATGCAGTTGAACAAAAAAAACAAGGCCAAAACAACCTTTATAGATACCTGCCAACCAGTTTCTACTAATCTTTTTATATAAACGTAATTATTCTGTCTGTAGTGTGAGCAAATTCCTGTTAAATCATTTCCATTTCTGTAATAACAAAGTTAATTAAAGCCCCATCCTTTCAGCAATGTTGCTGTACAGAAACCACAGTTTCCTCAAAGCCTGAAAGGCTTTCCCCCAAACAGCAGTGACTTTAGACAAACTGAACGTCAGGTGAAAATTGGTGTATATTTAGAGCTGGGACACCGAGGCCACTCTATTCCCAGTGGAGGCAAGCTGTCAAGCAAGCTGGAGGCAAACAAAGCAGCGCCGCACAAACTAATAAACCAACAGAGACAAATAAACAGTGATAAACACAGGGGCCACTTCTGCCCATTTCAGTCCTTTATGGGAGTGGAAAACAATGTGGTGAGCAATCTATGAACTCTATGGGACATAAATATCACAATAACAAATATCAGGCCCCTCTCCTAATATTCAGGATTGGATGCATGCTGTCTCTCAGGAATAGCCAAATAGGGCTTTGATGGGAGGCTTGTTAAGAAACATTGACTCTGCGAATCCTATTTGTGCCACGTCTGTTTTGTTGGAGAAAAGGGAGCTGCTGTTTGGCTCAGTAAGTTTTGCTTCAGGCCACAGCTCACCAATTACCATGCACAACCAGATCCAAATAAGACATCTGAACTCTATCTTTGTCTTTTTTTCTCCAACTGACATATCAATCTCATGACCAATTCAACCACTCAGCAGAAACTAAAGTAATGAGTCAATATATAGACTACAACCCGTGTTTCATTCTTTGGAAAAACCTTTGTTCACTTGGTTCTCTCCTCATGATGAGCCTGCTAAACTTGGTAACAAAAATGTCTCCTCCAAGATGACAAGGAAGAGTAATCAAGTGTATTAATTAAAGAATCATGTTATTCCCCGAGAGGCCTTGATATGATCAGTACAAGGGAGAGTCTCCTTTAATTAGACAATGACCTTTCACCTTGTCCATCTTATCCTTGCTTTCATTATAAAGTTCTAACATATTACACACATTACATTTCTAAGGACAATCAAAGGTCAACAGGTTTTTCTGTTTCTTGTGTGCTCTAAATATATCCTAAAAATACTGGCAGTTATGTGCAAGACAGCATTGTGTGTGTCAACCATGTGCAACAGGCTAGAGCATGAGGGATCTGAAATACTTATGCTATACAAAGAAATATAAAAGGATGGTATTCTTCTACTGCCCTTCAAAATAAAACAGATTGAATGCAAAAAGAACTTTGTGCTAACAGCATGTCATCTGAAGGGCACTATATTTGATATCCACATGCTTATGTCCTATTTGGAAAACAATACAACCCCTGACTTGTTTATTAAAGTCAACAGAATGAGTAACTTTCAGCAATGATAGTGGTCCATACTGTTGGATTATAACAATGAAGTTGGTTGAACAGTGTAAGTTTTAGCTAAAAAAAAAAAGTCTTGATTAGCTAAATTCACTTACTGCTAGCTTGAGCAAACAATATAACTCAAGCAAGTCAAACAAGTGCAAAGTGTCAGTAAATATGAATTCAGTTGAGTTGGTTTAGAAATAAATTATGGCTAACAATAGCTATGTGGGATGGCTGACTGCTAATAGCTACTGAAAAAACAGAAAGATATTTTTAAAGGCATGGGTCATTCAGAAATGAAAATGTTGCCATTTTGCAGCACTTGTTATCTTGGTAATGTTTACCTCTAAATACTGAGAGTGAATTTTGAGGTGAAACCAGAACTTTAAAAATGAATCCTGCATGATGCTCGACACTGCATAGCAAATGTTCGGTTGACTTCAAAGGAAAGTTCGGGTAATGGCCGACCCCTGCCGTCAAAGTGCTTCATTGGCTGCCAATTAAGCAATGCTAATGGCCAAAATGAAACAGATGTATTGATTTTTAAAAAGAACATCAATAACAAGTTTGTTAAAGATTTATAGCAGAGTCAATGTAGAGAAAGCAAAACCTAAGGGCACATAAAGTAACAGCGTAGGGCATTATGGGTTATGAGCTGATCCTTGGGCTATTTGTTTGAAACTAAGTGTATTTGTGCTATATGTTTCAGTACACTAAAAGCTAGTGTTCTGAAGATGAGTGAAAAATCAGGTTGAAAGCCTGAAACTGGGGAATTATTCTCTGCACCTCTATCTCTCTTCAATCTCTCACATTAACCATTTCTCCGCATGTAAACAGAGCCAGCACAGGCAGTAAATGACAAGATTTGTAGCGTTTGCTTTTGATATGAGTGATAATATTTAGAGAGGGGACTGATGAACTAGGTGTGCCTGTCTGGGACTACGATGTGTTTGACGAGAGATTTGAGTTTTTAATTGCATTCTTCAGTCTGCATGCAGATAAGAGTCATGTCCATGCACATAAATACTGCAGCAGCGGGGAAAAGCAAGGTCGAGACTGCAAAGTTTTTCAGTGGTGGAATAACTCGGCATTAGTAGCTCCTTGGGTGGGCATTATTTTAGTTTAAGCTGTTTGTGGAAAACATATTGTGCAGCCTATGTGAGAACAAATTCACCTTTAAAAAGCTATGTGTATTTTCCACTTTGGACCCATTTGCTTTTAAAGTTCTTTTTCTAATTCCCATGGAAAACTGGCTTTTTTAAGTTACTGCCCGAGCAGTGAAGGATTTCTTTCAGCTACTAAAACATTAACAATACACAAAGAAATCCATACTAGAGGCAGAAATACTCATTTCTCCATGGTAGCCTCAGTAGACCAGAATGCAATGCAGTCAGGGCTTTCATCTTTGCAGGTTGTCAGTATAGTAGAGTGTAAAACCCAGTGCAGTCTTCACCAGGGCCAAATGTAACACCACACCGTCCTTCTTCCTTTTCTCTTCCTGACATTACTGTCACACTAACACTCTTGCTTTGGGTTTCCCTGAAAGGCATTCTGGTAAATGTGGTAAGAAATGTTTACAGAAATAGACACAGATTGAGGGAAGAAACAGCAAGAGAATAAATTCTGAAATAATTACAAAAGAGCACATATTACTCGTGTAAATAAAGAAAGAACATTCCAAGTTGGATTTTTACACTCATTTTCAAGTGTTGCAGCACTTAAACCTCTGAAGTCTAATTATAGGAAGAGTAAAAAGTTTGAGGCATGCTGATTTAGAAGTTTTGAGAAACATACAAATGGTTCACGCAATAATGTTTATTTGATTTTCTAATCGCTGCTTCACAGCTAATCTGACAAATAAAACTGCTGATCCATTCTGTGCTCTGTCTCGCTGTATGTAACTTCCCATCTGTTTGTCTATTTCTTTTTTCGTTGTTACTTGTTTTACATTTAATTACTGCTGTTGTACAGCTCAGCATTCTCAGCATTTCACCAAGTAATGCCCCAGAGTTTATATATGCATTCATGATAAGATGACACGGGATGTGAGCTGTCCCAACTTGTGCCTTTACTCCTTTCTTTTGTGTAAAAATGGATTTGCATCCATGCTTCCAGTGTGTATTCACACTATACACACTGAATATATTAGTCAAAAACAGTGCATTTTAATGAACATCGATTTGTGCCAGGAACTACTAAAATAAACCGATTCCTTTTTACACTAACTTTAAATCATAATGCACTTGACTTTAACTTTTAAACACTTTTATTTACATGTTGCAGACTAACAAAGGTCAAATAATAAATAAATAATATTATTTCTAACATTTCAGTGTCAAGATGCTTATACTGCATTCTGTATTCCAGGATAATGCAGGATATTTTCAGATGCTTTAGAAGCCAATCACATTGATATTTGATTTTGAGAGTGAAATCCTCACTGCGGTTGATGCTGATATATTTTACCAAGCCGAATTCTCAATTTTCATTACAAAGTGTTTTCATTTTACTCTTTGATGAAGCCCTTTTTTCTCAAACTTCCTCGTCTACTCATATGGTACAACACCTCCTGTAGACAAAGCACAGCATGTGGTGTGGCTGCAGTACATTGTGGTTCATTGTGGCTGCTATCAGAGAATAAAACTCTGATCTCTTTGGCTCCTTGATGATAGATTTTTCCTGTTGAACACCAGGCAGCTCCTGCAAAAGGCCTTTGTGCTGATATTTTTAGGGACTGACATCACAACCTCTCATTTACCAGTTAAGATGATAGATCAATGAACAATTGTTCAACATTATATTGATTATACATTGTTTATATGTAATGTGGAATCCAATCAAAATTGGATATTTGAAATGCGTCACCTGTGAAGACAGCGCATTACAGCATCTCTGTGTTCTAAGCCTTTAAAGCCTGCGCACATTTAAACATATTCACTTTCATAGTGGCTTCTCATTCTTTCAGAGCTGAAATATTTGAAATATACACCACACAAACTGGCTCCAGCAATAGATCAATTTCACAAATAGCTGCCTAATTTAAATTTTAAAGTTCACTTGCATTTCAACATTTAAAAATCAAATAGAAAAATTATAGTAGCCCTTAATTTTCTGTATTCTGTACAAATCAATGTATTGAAAATATATTATTATTATTTTTCTGCTAATTAGGTGGTTCCTCCTCCTTACATTTTTCCTGATTATATTTAGAAAGAAAAAGGGCCAATTTTCCCTTAATAGACACTATCTCTCTCTCTACTTTTTTTTTTTTTTAAATAATTCATCACAAAACAGATGAAGCTGTCATTTATTTTTTCTCTAAGTTTCTGCATTTATTGTGCTGTACCTGAGTTGGGTGTTTTCATATGACTGGTCACATTCACAGACGTCTGAGTGGATCAGAAAATATTACATAAAATATGTCATAGGCAGCAGACAATCCAGCAACAATTTCTGACATTCTTCATGATAATACTATACTCTGCTTACACTGGCTATCACCTTACATCCACAGGAAGAAACAGAGGCCTTTAGAAATGAATCCCTCAAAATCAGTGTTCAGGCACCTTATTTAGGAAGCCTTTGTTAACCAGAAAAGAGATTAATGTGGAGTTACAAATGGATGTTTAATCTTTGTTACAAACAGTGATACAGAGATGGGACAGGGTTGGTCAATGCCAATTAGCAGCAATTAATAGCTGGTCTGACAATAAGTCAAATAAGAGAGCTAAATCATCTCTGCCCAAATTGCAAGTGCAGTAGTAAAAGAACTATGCAGCATAAACACCGTTTGCAATGGTGGTGTGTATCTCATAGTTAGAGTTCTTTCTTTACTGTCAAAGAGTTGAAATCCTTCATCATGTGGTGTGCCCTGTGACGGCTACCTCCTGTAGGTTTGTCACTGAAGTTTGAGTTGAAAAAAAAGAACAAGGAAAAATTGGTGACATTTGAAAAAAAAAATGACTATACGAGGCATGCATTGCAAAATGACCTGGGGGGAAATATAAACGGTCAACAGTAATAAATGGGCTAGAACTGAAAATGACCTGCATTCTCTTTTTAAAAAAATGTTAGTGTTGGATGACATTGTCCTGCTGTGGACTGGCGAGGGGGTGATGGCTACTCAAACAGATCACAGGCAGCCTGTCAAGCAGTCAATATTGACTCAGCTGTTGTTTTGTTGGTGTGCGACATGGCTGAATAACTGAGTTACTGAGCAGCATGCATCCTGCCATGCCATTGCCTTTTCTCCGTTTGAGCCATATATTGTAGCGCGCCTGCTGATATGACATTGTTAATGCAGCCGCAGCAAGTGTGAAACGCATGTTCAGTTAGTCAGTCAAATGGCTTAGTATATTGGGTTAGCTCGTGTTATGGTTTAGGTCTGTATTTGTCAGGGCAATTGGGCAGTCCTGCGCATGTGCAGCACATTCTTCTAGCCAAAGCTTAGGAATCACACAGAGAGAAGAGAAATCAGAGAGACAGCAGAGAGAGACAGAGCTGAGGGGGAGAACAGTCGGGAGCTGCGTGGTTAGGTTTGCGGTTCTACTTACATTTGCAGCCATCGTCCCACAAATAGCCGGGTAGACACTCCTGACACTTAGGCCCTGTAGTGCCCTCCTTACATATACAAAATCCTGTGCCATTACAGCGATCACTGACTGAGCCAAAGGGATTACAATTACACTCTGGAAAAACAAGACACAAACATACACACAGGCTGGAAACAGGGTGGTTGCTTTGACTTCCTGGCACACGTCTAGGATTTTGACAGTGCGGACCACATTCCTCGAGCTCAATTATAAGCTCAACTATTACAACAAGGCGCTTGATTATTTTTAACTGGTAAAAAATGTGAATAGATTTAAAGACTCATACAGAAAAAAATGCTACCATTTCAACTAATGGAGACAGAATGAGAAAAGAATGAAGTTGATTATAGATGCATGAACACTTTGTATTCATTACAGCATATTTGTAATTATTCAAACATTTATTTTACTGTTATACGTGCAATGAGCAAATATGCAAAGCATTATCAGTAGCTTTGACTTAAGATGAAGAAAGTGGGCTAATCTGCACATGCTTTTCAAAAATCTGATTCATTCATTCGCGTAGAGATAGAGAAAGATGGAACGAGGAGACAAAGAATGTGATGAGTAGGTATCAGATGGATAATGGCATGAAAAGACAGAGTGAATGAAAGTACATTGAAATGGGCATTGTCGTAATATGTTCTTTAATTCTCTCTAAATATCAAATGATGCAACTTATTGTTATCCTTCTTAGGAATTGTCTAAGATTTTGGCATTGGATGCCTCTGTACCATTAACAGAAGAGAGTGGTCATTACTCACACTTAGATTTTAAATTACTTTTAAAAAAAACCCTTCCCTGTGAAAAAAACAACTTGTCAAGTCTCCAGTGTCCTACGCTCAACTGACCTTCCAGCTGTCCACAGCGACTGGAGCACTCTGCAGTCAAAGTGACACCTATTTTGACAGTCCCTGACCATCAACATTGCACCTTCTGTGGCTGTGCTGGCTGCACGTGGCTGCACCCGAGTCACATCCGTGGGTCAGGCAAGAGGAGAGAGGTGACGGCAAGTGACAAACGGGGGGGTCAGTAAGAGGGAGGCAGGGTGACGGCAAGTTTGGCATGAGGTAACGCCTCGGTGCCTCTTAACGCCTTGTGACGGTTTTCAGCTGCTACTCCTGAGGCCATTTCATGTATATGACATATGCACTTGCGTGGCACCTCTGACTGGCGGTGTGACTTCACTGCGACATTTCTCTAAGAACTCTTGTTGCTTGTCAGACTCCCCCCTCAGGACTCACAAATGCACCTGGCACTGAGTGCTGTGAACTCACACTCCACATGCTAGCTAAAGAATCCAATAGGGAACCAAGCTTTTGCCTTAGGAACTATGTGAAATGCAATTTTCACACATTTTTACTCATAAGAAAAACAGATGATGCAGTGTATGAATGCCTGCATAAGGTTCATGGACAAAAAAACAGAAACATCAGATGAAAATGGTCTTTTAACTTTTATGTATTGATCAAATTTAAGAAAAGCACTATTTAGCAACTCACTAAATAGTAAAATAACACATATGATTTGCTACAAAGTATGTAGTTATTTGAAGGAATAGTTTAACATTTTTATAAGCACATATGCTTATTAGTTTCAGTTTCAGTAGAGTTCAATGAGAAAATTAATACCACTGGCATGTTTGTATGTTAAATATGTAGCTAAAAATCAGGGTAGCCTGGCTCTGCCCCAAGGTAAGAATATCCTGAAGTCTTCCCTGGTTGCCTGGCAACCTCTGGTGACAACAAAGCTCCAATATAGTCCTGGACTGTTTCCAGTCTATGTGCTAAGCTAAGCTAACCGGCTTTATATTTGCCCTATGAGAGTGGAATCAATCTTCTCTAGGGTGTGTCCCAAATATCAAACTCCTCCTTTACTATGGCAGGGGAAGTTGAGAGAATATTACAAAAATAAAACTGCATTGGCAAACGTACCTACAGCAAGAACAACTGATTAACCAATAAAGCATTCATGCTTTTCTTATTTAGTTAATTAGTATTGGGCTTTAAGATGTTTATTTTCTATATTTTAGGTGTTTCTATTCATTTGTCCATATGCTATAATCTATATCTACCTGCATATCAGCTTTCTAGCTTTAAATTAATGCATGAAGCTGTCAGTTAGAAACCAACTGTAACATAGCCTTCTCCATTAACAAATAGAAGCTAGCAACTAGAAACTAACCATAATACTGTGTCAACCCTGAACGAGTCTGCATATATTCAAACCATACCTGAAGGGATTGACTGAAAATCACTGAATCACTGAAGCAACAAGCTGGTGTGTGTCTGACTAAAGCTGAATATCTAACATCCTCCGTAAAACACTCATTCTGACAAGGAGGTTAATGAGTAACACCATTGTGCGAAAGCAGAAGAAGCAAAAGAGGAAGATGTGGAGACGACTGAAAGACATGGAGGCAGGAGGGTGTACGGGTGATGAAGCAGACGGGGGTGAAAGGTGACACTTTATCTGGTGACGAGTCAAAGACAGTAGGTGAGGCAAGGAAAGTGTTTGTGTGAAAGCAGGGCCGGGTGGGGGACTAACCTATGCACACATTTTCATCGTCCAGTTCAGCTGAGGCATTGCGGTAGTAGCCCAGCTTGCATAGCTGGCAGTGCTGGCCTCTAGTGTTGTGCTTACAGCTCACGCAAATGACGGTGTTTAGCAGCTCGATGTAGCTGCATCGGTTGGAGTGGCCGAAGCATTCGCAGTCTTGCAAAGAGAGAGGAAGTGTAAAGGGAAGAGAACAGAGAAAGAGAGAAAAGGAAAGAGAAAGAGACGCGGTAGGAAGTGTTGGAATTGTTTCTGTTGCTGCGAGTGCTACGGCGGAGGGGTTAGCAAGAATTTGAGCGAGGCGCCATGGCATGCGAGGTTAAAAATGGAGACTGCGTTGTGAGGGAGGAGAAGGAGGTGTTAGGGAGGACATGAGAGGGAGGGTAACTCATGATTAGTCTGGCATGGGCACAGCCAGAGTTAGAAAAAGACATCACATTAAAAAAAAAGCACGGCGTTAGTAGGACTCAAAGAGGTCACATCACTTCAAGCACACCACAACATGAGGCGAGGAAGGCTCCAAAATGATGGCACAGAGACACGGTCACATCGGGAACACCACACAGCGTAAGGCAGGTCAAACCATGAATGAAATGGATCTTTCAACTCAGGCAATGGAGTGGGGGAGTTTTGAAATTGTTGTCTAATTGATCTCTTGAGTTTCATGGTCGATCTGGGTTGAGGTAACGAGCCAGAACTTTTAATGCCGCTTCATATCACAACCCTCTGTAATGAAATGCATGAAGAATTCCAAATCTGAGAACCCCTTAACTCATCCAACAAACAATTATAAATAGGCCGGATAGTTGTTTTTAAAGGCTTATTACATCCCAACTTTTAAAGTCAATAAGGCAAGTGAGCGTATGGTGAGTTGCAGCTGGGAGAGAGTGTGTCATTGCCTGCTATGCAGTGTTATGTCATGCTAAATTAGATATTTGGAGCTGTAGCTGGACTGAAAAACCTCATGCTGTAGTCTATGATACTCACTGGCAGCCCTGGCCTTAGGGGTGCAGGATGGGAGGGGGCAGCCCCAGCTCAGCTCTCTCTGAGTGAGGATCAGTCTACCACGCTGAGTGACCACTGACACCATGTGTCACAGCGCAGACAGATGTGACCCTTAAGCCTCACTGGCAGCCGCTTGGACAGAAAGCCCACTTACGGATCCAGAATAGGGGGGAGGTTGTGGATGGGGCTTTCGTCCAAGGGATTGTGGTTATTAAGGATCTGTATTGAGGTCAGGTCTCCCTGTCCGGCCGCTAACAACCCGACAAGGCTTAGAAATGAAGGAGCAGCAAGTACAGTCCACTCTAACTTTCACCTAAAGGAGAAAGTCTTGTCTGAGCATAAGCTAAGATCCTCTACATTAGATGCCTCAGTCTCGCAGACATACTCTCAGAAGACAAATAATCTCTCCTTTTCAGAAATAGGCTAAGGTCATAAATCATGCACGCACGGGGAATAAAAAGTCTCGAGTCTTGGAAAGCCGTTCCCCAAAAATAGTTGTAGTCTCATGCACCCACTGTATTTGCACTGAAAAGGATATGATTCCAAGGGACTTTTATAGTGTTTAGAAACGATTCCATAGACGAATGAATCCTCAATGTGCCCTGTGCAGTGAAAGCCATCAGTCCAGCACTGAGCTGGAGATATGGATACAGAGGACTCTAGCATTGGGTTAGTGCTGCAAGGGTTAGGGGGCTTATAGTTAAACAGAAACATCAGTTCAGACAGTGAAAAGGCTTGGGAGTCATCTGGGGGGCAATGTATGAATTCCAGAGCTCCTACCTCGCTTGCTGTTTGCAACGTGGACAGAAGGGGCAGTGGACAATGCAACTTGAGGAGCTACTAGACAAATTAAAAGAAGAAACAAACAAAACAAAACAAAAAAAACACGATATTGCAATTAAACAATAAACATGTAATGTCAGAGAATTAAGAAAATTGAGCATCGTGCTTAATAATAAATGTAACAGTAAAATAATAAAGGAACATACGCAATAATGATGAATGATGGCATTGGGAAATAAGGAGTGACATTGCCAAGTGAAGTTGGCTGCATGTAGCAGCATCTGTTACAAATGCCTTAGATGGCGAACAATCCTAATATTATGGTCCTTCTTTTATGCTTCATTTCATTAACAAGTGCTTTGTATAATTCAAAAGCCTCTGTGTATGTTTCCCCAGACAAAAACTATCCCCTGACAAACTACTCTCCACCTCAGTGGAGGCAAGCCAAGAATTTTCACCTTATAAATTTGTGCACAGGAGCGTGGATAAGGAAACTGGCTAGCAGTGAACACATCAATCCCTTGATTCCTTTCCGGTCATAAAACAAACAGTGGGAAAAAGAAATAATAGGCCCAGCCTCTGCCATTGTACTGGGTGACATAAGCCCCTGACACATACACTATGTGCGCTTGGCTGCAGTCATGGAAACACAGAGCTGAGGGGTTGTGTGCTAGTTGTTTGTGAGGTGGCTGCACATCACATCTTCACGATGGATTAAACTGAGATGAGCCTAACATCAATCTGCATAAAAAAACCACCATGAAACCTCTTCTGCTTTTCTTCCTGATGCGCTAAGATGGGACCGAGAATCCCTGGAAGCTCTGTGCCTAATTAAAATCGAGTGTGTGTGTGTATCAATGTACAGTGCACTCATTGAGTGTCTGAGTGGATAATGTACGTCACTGCAGCATGTTGCAACATGAGTGCTCCATGAATACACAAGCTTCCACTGAAGGAACCGAAGCCCTTTATCATGAGCAAGATTTGTCAGGAAAATAATAATAATAAAAGATTGGGAGAGGGGAAGATACTACCCACAAATACTCTTAGCTACCAAAGAGTAATTTTTGCTCACTACACAAACACCCCGAGGTAAATGGATTAGTGAAAAAAACATAGTTGTTGCATATTCTTAGATGCCTACCTTCTTTTCGGTTAGCGACACCTAGGGATGAGACATTCGGCCGAACTGCGTGCAATTGAGAGAAACCAGGAGTTATTCATGTGCACTTGTGTGATGCACTTCACAGATAGTCTAAAGGGGGGACTACGTGGTGGTGGACACACACAACTGGAGACACGAACATGTCCAGCATGACTCAAATCTGTAAATCAGGAAACAGCAAATACAATGGGGCAGGGCTGACATGGACGAGCAAAGAGAATGCATCCAAAGACCCATTAAGGTCATTGGAGAGACGTTGTATGTAATTTGTGTGACTTGCTGTGTATGTGTATGTTTATGGCAATGGCAATGATGAGTGGAAAACTGAAGAAAAAAGATAAAAGCGTCTCAAAGTTAGTATTTAAGTCATGATTTATGCAAGCGGGTCTAAGCTATGTATAACAAATTAAGAAGTTAGGGGGCATTTTGTTTAATTCATCACATCGACTATGTAATCAATATCTAATTACAGTGTATTTCTGGTGGAAGAATAACAATGAATAAATAATGGCAGGTGTTGGGACTTGGAATGACGGACTGCTGTGGGTAGCATAACCTCATAATTACATACAAGTCGGTATTTCCGTGTCAGGGAAATACTTTGCGGTTGGAAATGGAGAGGACTCAAGCAAAGGGAGGAATACGGATAAGTTTCCTCATCGTGCCCCTACATCTCTTCACTTGATCTTTCTGTCCTTTTGCTATTGACTCCATGAATCATGCAATCTTGGGTAATTAACGTCCAATGGTGTCTTGGCAAGAAGCCCATTTCCCTAACAATGTGTGAATAGAGAATATGAGTTCTGTTCAAATGTTCAAAGGCCAAATCATTTTGAAAATGCATTTTTTTCACACGCAATAATACCTTTTTTATTGATTTGGAATAAATTAATACATATAATTTTAGCTTGGTGCCTCTACACACTGTGACAATCACTTTTAACCCCCCCTAACATTACCAGTCATTGATTTCCAAACAGCTTGAACAAAAGACTATCATGCAAGTATCTCCTGTCTCGTCCCGGTCTTTATTTTATTTTTTTTAATCTCCCCAAAAAAAAATTCGCAATTGATCTTGCTTTGGGGATTCTGGCATCGGTGATGACTGCGACATCTCCTGTGGGTTTAAATTGCTTGAGTCACTCAATGAGAGGCTCTTTTAAAATGACAGGTTAACAAATAAAGGGCACACCACATCACCACTCAAACTCAAGTCTCATATCTTCAATTCAAGTGCCTCGTTTTTTTCATCTGAGTTACAACCTAGAGGTGAAGCTGTTTGCTCAAAAGCAAAACTGACTTGTGAGGACATGAACAATAGATTTATGCATCAACACAAAGAATGCATTATTTAAGAAAGAAATAAAACACACATAAGCAAACCGCACTGTCCGGCTCTATAATGTCTAATTGGTAAAGTACGTTAATTTTTAATTATTCTGTGTTGGCAATTGATTGGATGTAACACACATCTGGGTTCCATTAATTATTTTGTTATGGGGAATATTCAGGTAAGGCGAGCTAAATGAGTGGTGACGGATTTTAATCAATGCCATACCCATAATGAAATGCAATCTTGCAGAGCCAGAATTGTTTTTTAAAATATTAATTTCATTTTAATGGTCCGCATTAGGCAATTCTGCCTGGCTTAATAAACTTGAAATAGAATTGAGAAAAGTCAATAAGGAATTCAATCACCTTCAAAAACAACATGAAAAGTGTTGTGTTTTCTCTCCCCACCCACAGTAGCCTTATAGTCTGCTTAACAACCTCAAGGACATCCTAACCTTTTTTTGTCCATTCTATTCTATCTTTATTAATAACGCAGACATTAAATTGGTTTGTGTTTGCACTGAAAACAGCTTCATCCTCTTCAGTGTTCAGTTCAGTTTTTAGGGTTCTGTAGGAGTGCTGCTGTGACGAGACAGCCATTCGTGAGAACTCTAAATCCCTGAGGGCCAATCTGGATGAGAAGTGAAGACTTTGGTTTGTCAGAATGTCCTTTCTACATCACCCGGCCCCCCAAACACACACTCACACACGCAACCACACAGCATGCACACTCTCCCCGTAAAGGATTTGAGGACAGCCTTTGGACATGGTCTGGCCTGGCATTAGGATGGGACAGAAAGAGGACTGATGTGAATATGTATGCATGTATATACAGCATATATGAAGAGCATGCACACACACACTGAACTCCCAGCAGGCCGTGCATGGAGTGGAAGCATAATTTCTACGGTGTGAGGAGGTGGTGAAGGAGGCAAGCAGTGGAAGATTGGGAGGGGGGAGGTTTGGTCTTCTTGGCCACATGTCCATTTCTGACTCATGACATAGCATCAGACTTTACAACCAGCATTGACTTTGTGCATAAGCTACCGCTCTAAAGCCTGATTAGAAACCACCCGGGAATAATCTGCTTTCACCCTGTGTATCACACAGCATGTTTTGGGAAACTTGCCCAGTGATCATCTTAGCCCTTAAACGATGAAAACAAGTGTGCATGTGTCATCCATGTGTCCCTTGGTGCATATAACTTGGCTTGGTAACACTTGGGCATTAGCACTAGATATTGAGTGAAAGTAAGCCACTGGTATTATACTGAAACTGAAAACCAGCACTTACAACAGAGCTTAAAAAAATAGTAATTATTAATTGCATTGCTGAGAGTTGGATGGTAAGATTGATACCATCTTCATGTCTGTCCCTTAAATGTGAAGTTGTAATCAGGAGACAGTTAACTTAGCTTAGCATAAAGACTTAAAGCAGGGGAAAACAACTAGCCTGGCCCTTTTTTACACTGCAGTGTTTATATTGACTAAACAATATTTTGTTTATAAGTGAGCTTTAAAGGTGTTGATTTAGCCTTTGGGCAAAGCCAGAGTAGCCACTTTTCCTAAACTTTTCCTTTAAGCCAAATTGTAATTCATTTGCCATATATTGATCTGACAATGCTGTGTATAGGGGGATTGGTAAGATTTACTCAAAATAAAAAGATACTGACTTTACAATGTATCTTTTTCCAATTTCATGAAAGCCAATAACAATGTCTTACTACTAAAGGTCAGTTGTCTTACTTTGGATGAAGGTAATGGACTTCATCACTCATTCCGGTGTATGCTAAAGTGTTAGCATGAAGCACCAGAGCCAACAATATTGCAGCTACAGTATAAATGACTTCTACTTTCTGTTGTTTTCATCATCATTTAACAGGTAAGTTGATCACTGGGGCCAATTTATCAAAAACTTGCATGCCTGTTTCACCCTCAGCCAGGATCAGACAGGGAGGGGCAATTTGCTAATCAATCTGCTGCCCCGGGAACAGAGGGTACTCTCTAAGAACAGAGCAATGGGGAAAAAAGATTAAGGAGAATTGAGCCAGGCTGTGAATGCACTTTGACTTGTTCAATACAGTCCTATGGTTCCTGCATCACACAGCCTTCCAGGCAGCGGTAACTTGAGACGTGGCACCTCTCTTCTTCCTCCCTCTCCTCAGGGGCTACTGGTTGACGAAGATAATACCAGCTGAGGTGGTTGCGGCTTATATTAAAATGACCTCCTGTGACTTTATACTGCCAGAGAGGTCTTGGCACTTTAATAAAGTCTAGATGCCATTTATTTATAATGCATGGGAGAGAGGAAAAAAAACAAATGACATTCTGCATGCAGAGCCAGGCAAGTGTTATCTGGTTGAGTTGAGTCTGGATAAAGTAAATTAATATGCCTGCATCATGACAATATAGCCCCTAGCTATTGCTTATCTGTCTTCCCAAAAAAAAAGGTTAGTCAACAGTTATTGAGTGATTCTTTGTAGGTAGATTAGAATCAGAAATGAACACTTGGCACCAAGTTCAGGGTTGTATGGTGAAGGTTGGCACAGTAGGCAAAGCAAAGCATCAAGCATTCATATAGTTCCTTTGTAACTGTTTACTTACTAACTGGACCAATGTTATTAGGAATACCTGCAAAAGAGAAAGAGAAAAAGAACAACTTAAATTATGGCATAAATTTGACTTTAAAGTGACAACTGCAACATTTCCCCTTGAGACCAGAAGTACATTGTCAGTCCTGCCATCTTCCCTCACAGTTGATTGAGTTCGCACCCCAATACTCATGATTCATCTTAATGAGCTGTATACAATTTAGATGCCACATAGACTGGGACGGAAGTTGCAGCTAGTCTTCCCTGTGATTTGAAAGCTGCTGCATGTTTAGCCTGACGGGTCTTGGGTTTCTTCTTGCGTCGTCCATTATTTCTACTTTAAGAATCCTGTTGTTTGTAGTGCCAGAAAAGGTCATTGCTGCCCTCTCCCCCAGCAAACGATACACACCTGAAAATGTCCCAATATCACTAAAAAAACAATTTCAGCAAACACAATGGTCAGAGAGTATAATACTTTAGTTATTTTAAAGTTAGAAAGTTGAATATTTTTTTAAGATGCTTCTCAGCACATCACGTCTTTAAAATATGCGTTGCCAGAGATGCATAAGACAGAATTCTCATGCACATAGACACACAATCATACACAGCATATCAAAGGACATCATAGATGGAAAACTCTGCCTCTGTCGCCAAAGGAGGACATGTCTTATCCTGCTGCCTGCCTGTCCATCCCTCCATCACACATTCCCTTGTGCCAGACAGCCACTGAGCAGATAATACAGTCTGTCTCATCCCCATGGTGACCAGATCTCTCCCACACCAGGACATTGCCAAGCTGTGGATCTGAGGAGATTGAGACGTTCATAGACTTCTTGTGCCGATCATTTCGCCATCTGAACCAACCACAGATATCTTGTTTTTGGTATTAATTAGGACTGTGAATATGAATATGTGTGTGTGTGTGTGTGTGTGTGTGTGGCTGCTTCAGACACCTTGAAGCGCAGACAATGTTACAAAGCACTTTGCCATTTTTCTGGTTGTGTATTTTTGGTCGGCATTTGTTTTCAGAGGAATTTGCTTTCAGGACATCGATGCCAGCTCCACTTTTTCTAATCAT